AGCTGCGGTCAGAAAACAGTTCTGCGCACAGAAGCCTGAAGAGCGACCGTTCGCTGATTGGACAGGGGCTGGACTGCTTCAGAGCTGGCCTCCGAGTGTCACTGGCTTGCGCACATGCCTGCATACGACGGTTACGTCGCCGCAAACGACAACGTCCACGGCTGCGCCACGAGGTCCACCCAGCAGCGGTGACTTGCGCGTGAACTTGTTTATAAGGAAACGGACTTGATCGGCATCTATCAGACTCTCGCCCTTTCCCCCTCAACTTTGCTCCGATAGCCAGACATCGTCAGGACAATCGGGAGTTAGCTCAGGCATGCTGACTGACAAAGCTAAGCGTTCCGTCTACACATGTCACACAAACAAACACACACACACACACACACACCACCTGATTCACGCTCCAGACGTACCAGGTTACAATACGGGCGGAACAGATCACAGAATAATGTGAATACCTCACTCTCAGTTCCGAGAGAGACTGAATTACCCTGACAGTTAAAAACCTTCCAGGCCACACCGGTGACGTACTCGTTCAAATAATTTCAATTTTTTATTGGTTCCCCTGCTGGCCTGTCGACCTTGACGCACTCAGTAGTTTTAGATTGAAGTGCTGTCGTGTTGATGAGTCGAAATGGTGATTCCTTGGGGACACTAGATAAGCATTAAGTGGTTGATTGTCATCCTACGCACATAGTAATCGGTAAGATGTGGTTATGTAGCTCCACCTGATGGACACAATACTGTTAGGGTTGGGGTTAGGGTTAGTGCCAGGGTTAGGATAAGGGCAACTATTCCTCAACCACTCAAAGTACAGCCGCGCATTCCCAATAGTTTTTCTTTTGCATACAACTACCTGACCTCGTCGCCTGTGCGTTCCCTGGCTCCACCTGTAAAAACCCCTACTGCCACCGGTCCCGCATTAGAGGTGGCTGGGGGTTTATGTACTTCAGGTAGGGCTACATTGCCACATCTGACCCTTATTTAAACCCGATGCGAGGGCCCGAATTCTATTCTTTTTTAAATGTTCGAATACGCAAATGCTCTCAGTGCTTCGGACCATCAAAACTGGCACTGCAGAACTGAACCGATCGATGGTTCCGTCTGTAGCCATAAATTTCTGAGGGGGAGTTCAAAATGTCCCGAAACATGATGCAAGGTCAGGCTGACTGGCTGTGACTGTTTCAAGAGTATGTATGTCAGTATGTACTTCGAGAGCTTCGCTCCAACCAGGACCAAAAGACTGGCCGCTAAGCCGCGTCATTTTTAATTAAAGTTCCGCGCCGCTTCTGTGTGATCAACGCAGTGTCGAAAAGGTATCGAATCGAAGTGCCCGGGATACCATCCTAACTGCTATTGGTTGCGCAGGATCTTAAAAACCGGTACACCTTATGCCAGCATCCTCAAAAACCTAGTTTCAAAAAACGCGCTAATTAATATATTCTGTAAAGCGGTCGACTGCATGCGCTGGACCAGAAACTGCACCGATTGCATCCCCTGACCGACTTTTTGGCCACAATGCAGACCCAAAGCGCATTAATCTGCAGCAGGTTTGCTAATTGACTCGAAGTGCCCTGATCGGAGGGGGAATGTCCGCTATTAGGATGCATTTGTTAACGAGGTGAGAGAAAGAGAGAGAGAGAGAGAGAGATTGCAATGATTGAATCGGCCTTTTTACGTCCTTTTGGGAGAGTATGTTTTGCAACTGGCTGCCTGGATCATCGTAAGTGGTTAATAAGTGTTTACAACAAAGAGGAGGCGACTAATGGAGGTCATGTGATGACAGGTTTTCGAATGTCGATGTGTTTTCGCGTGGAGAAGATAAAGCCTCCCGGGATGGAAGGAAGGAAGGGAGAGAGAGAATTCAGATCTGGATAGCTGGCACAAAAAAACTGCATTAACACCGGTAAGAAGATCAAAATGACAACATTTCCTGCACACATGTACTTATTTCCGTCAGTTTTCCGAAGTAATGTGACCGGTGAATTGAAGGTACCGTTATAGCACGCCAGAGTTTCCATAGGGTAGCCATGGGAAATCTTATGAAGCTGGTAGGAACTAGTACATGCTCTTCCAGATACACGTTAGTACTTATTTTTTTTATTGTAACGCAAGTCAGCGTTGAAAATCATCTCCATTTCATTCACCAATCCAGACATGCTACTTTTCGATTAAAAGGCTGTTTGAACATTTGTGTCTATCTCATCAGCAAGCAAATCGGAAATTAGCTAACCTTTTTGTGTTTTGAAATGCAAAGCAAGCCCGTATGTTAAAATCATCTATTGTTTCAGACGCCAAAGACAAAGCAAAAATGAAAAAAATTGTAAGTGGCACAAAAAACGTGTGTCTGTTAGAATAAACAGTCAGACTTTAAGTCATACAGGGGGAGAGGCAAGTGATGACAGGGAAGCTGGTAGAGCATATGTACGGTGTGAGTGCGTATGCCATTTTTTATCATATATATGCGAAAGATATAACAGGAAGACGGCTGACCGATATGACCATTTATGACCTGAACTGCTCCATCATTTAGCGTCAATGTTAACAACTTGCCACTAAACCACGGGTGCGTTGTAATGCCGGCAGCGAGCATGAATATAAGTATCCTTGTCTGTCTCTCTTTCTGTCTTCTCTGCTCCCTGAGCTAAGATCGTGTGCATTTATGTATATATATGTACTGGAAAATGAGCATCCCAAGAAATTTAACTGAAATATATATATATATATTTCTAGTGACAGATGAGCGCTCACCGATCAGGTTACAGAACGTGCTTGTTCCGTTATGCCTTGGGGCTCATACTTGAGCGCTCGAAGGCAGTCACACAGCAACTAATAGTAAAAATAAATGAGATGGTACCAACAACGCCAAGGAAGACCGGAATGACCACATCTGGCTTATTGGCCGTTATCAGCCAGTCATACCTAGCCCCAAATGTGGATCGCTTGAGATTCGGACCCGGGATCTTCGGTCATGGAGTTTGAAACTCTACCTTTGAGCCACGGGTCCATTGTCCTGTCGGTTGTAATCGGGAATTTCATTTAGGGCAGATGGGCGCTCAGCGATCAGGTTCACGCGGTAAGTGCTCTGGACAAACACGGAGGACAGATCGAGGTTTGGCAAGCGTTATCGGGCTGCGTATCGGTAACAAATTCCACACATGGGGGTGTGACGGGTAGGGGTTGGTGGCATCGCTAGGTGCGGGGTCACGCCGCGCCAGCCACCTGCCCCCGGTCTTCTTGACTCTGTCATGAAACTGGGGCTGGAAGGTGACGTCAGGGTGTGGTAGATGCAGCGCAAGCCATCAACCAATATAAACGAATTCCTGCGTAAATCACCGTCCCTGAGCCGACCCTGCAGTGGGACACACGGTAGACATTATGGATAGAGACGGTTGATCTGTCATGCTGTTCTTGCCCCAGACGGCGCCTAAGATTATAATTGGCTGAGTGAGGACGGAATAAGCCCGCAGAGGTTCCGTATCAGTCTGCTCTCAACTCTGTCCTCACGCCCTCTGCTGTCACAGCTTGGGCGAGTTCGGTCTGACAGGTAGTTACTTGCTGTTAACATCCGTCAGGCATTCGAAACTTGTATGTCGATTTCATTGCAACTGTCGAATTGCTAACGCACAATGAGTACTGCATGTGGATATGCTGACATGCCGAGTTGATTACAAAAAGGAGCATCGTTTTGATTTTATCTTGTCTAGTTTCCTCACTATCAACAGACGACCTCATTTTCTATCTACCTCAGTACGTCAACAGTTCCGGTCGGGAGGTTACCACCTGAATGGGGTGACAGAGTTCTATTCGGGACTAAGGACCAGACATTAATAAATCTCCAATAAGAGTTCGAGACTTGAGTTTCGGAAGACTATGTTCTAAGGATGAAGGTTCGTATCCGGCAGAACAGGAGGAAAAGGGATGGGGGAGGGGGAGGGGAGGGGAGGAGGAGGAGGAGGAGGAGGAGGAGGAGGAGGAGGAGGAGACGACCAAGGAGGGATTCCGACGTTCAGGAAGGAAGATATGTTTATCGGGCGTCCCGGACTCGTGCTCGCATTCATCATCAGCAAATGAAGCATTTTGACCACGCGTCGTCTATTTGTGTTGAGTTCCATTTTTGTACAATTTTTGTAAAATGTGAATAAAGCAGATCGTCTTTCAGACATGGCAAGGAATCCTGAGGCTGTTTCTTACGCCCGAATTTGAAAGGACAATCAGGGCCAATGGGACGGATGGGTGCCTCCGTGGCTGCCCTTGTACATTACCCCTGCTATTCCTAAAAAAGTAGAAGCCCTTGTCTGCCTCATGCATACGCTGCGTGCGCCCTGTCGTGGCCACTAATGCTGACTGACCGGCGCCATTTGAAGGAGTGGTGGATATGACGCTCCACTTCCGATGGCCTTTGTGTGCCTATGTCAGCGCGCCGGTTTTTTCGAATGCGGTGTGGGGGCCGCCGAAACTAGGCGCCCGGCTCTTAGTTGTCGGGGTCTAGACCCCGTAGTCCCCACCACCGCCACCCCCCTCCGCCTTCTGCCGGGTGAGTGCGTGCATGCGCGCCGCAGGTGAGTGGCATGAGAGAGCGTCACATTCAAACCTGCCGTCGGCGTGAGTATCAATCACCCATTGGTTGAGTAACCTTCGACGGCAGCCAATCGGAGCTCAAACATGCACGCCCGGAGGCTGCTGAGCAGTCCGGCTCATGCGCCCACCGCGTTTCTCAGCGTGTCCGACAAGGTCGCGGTCCACAACACAGACACACACGCGAGCACCTGCAAATGCTCGTTGTAGGCTAGAGAACGCCGTGCTGACGGTGAATTGCCGCACATAGCAGCGCACTTTGCTCTCCCTCCTCGTCAGTCGCACTGTTGACAGCACCAGCTTTATTCGGAGTTTCCAATTTCATCTGCCCTCTCCCACAGGTGGCAAGCAAGTATTGTGATGCACTGACTGCCTGTGGACTGCTCCTGACTGAATCTGGTTTAATTGAAAAGGGGAGCAAAATGAGCTCCAGACGTACAAACTGCCACGCGCTCTGGCGCCCGTGGTATGTCATCCTCACGACAGTGCTGGAAGTCTTCCTCATCTACAGCGGTATTGAACGTTATGTGGCCTTCAAGGAGCAGGCTTTCGACCCCAAGTATGGTGGAAACTGGCAGCACTCCGGCATGCATTTCGCTCTGACAATGCTCATCTGTGCTCTCTTCCACTTTTGCCTCTTCCTTTTCACCAGCGTCTGGCGAACCATTAACCTGGCAAATGAGGGCACCCAGATCCACCGGAACCCAATTTACTCCTCGTCTGTCTGGCCGTCGGAATTTCCTCGCGGGGCGATAGACGGCGGTGGCGTCGCCGTTGGAGAAGGAGGCGGCTTCGGAGGCTTCTACGCCACCATGAACGGCATTCTGCACGGCAAAAACAATCTAGGCATGATGACGGGGGCGGCCCCTCCGGAAGAAGAGCACCTCGCTGCAGGATCGGGGGCCGCAATGGGCGTGGGGGTGGGACCTATGCCCCTGGGCGCCAACTTTGACACCTGGTCGGCTCGCAGTGCAGTCCCGCCGAGCGATTTTGGGAACCCCTACGTACCGCATCTCTTCCGCAGCGCGGTAACAGGTACCCTCGCGACTGTCAGTCATAAATGCCGCCTGCCTTGGTGGAGGAGGTGCTGGGATGGCCTACAGACTGCGTGGACCCGGACGATACAAAATTTCGTGCCAGTCTCCAGTTTCCTACACTTGGTCTCCGCTTATGCCCTCTATGTCTGCTTGCCAATTCTTCAGGCTCAGCTCATTTATCATCGGGCGCTTCCAGAAAGTGAGCTCCTTTTGATGATTTTTTATGTGCTAGTATTTGGGTCGGAAACATGAAGGTAGGATGTGGTTATACAGCCCCACCTGATAGACACAACACTATTGGGGTTGGGGTTGTGGTTGGGGGTTAGGGTTAGAGGTTACCATTTCTTAACCACTCAAAGTACACCCGCGCATTCCCAATAGCTTTTCTTTTGCTTACAACTGCTTGACCTCGTCGCCTGTGCGTTCTCCGGTCCCACCTGTGAAAACCCCCTTTTACCACCGGTCCCGTATTACAGGTGGCTGGGGTTTGCTTACTTCAGGTGGGGCTACATAACCACATGTGACCAACATGACTCCTGAGTGTTCCCCCGTTAAATTCCATTTCGTGCACAAAACCTCTAAATCCGGTAGACTTGATGTTCCGTTGCACTGAGCAAGGCACTTAAAGAAGGTGATGTAATACGAAAGGCAGAAACACAGGTGTATCATCAACAATCAATTCTGTCTTCACGGCTTATCGGCTATAAAAGCCGGTCCCCAGTGGGGCCAAACAGTTTAGGTGTTATTTAGGAATATGGAGGACGGGAGTTGGACCCCTGGCCGTACTGATTAGACCCTGGCCAGGGGAGACTGACGGTCCCATTGAGCAGGAAGGATCTCACTCCTGATTTTCTGTTTGGGTCTTCAAACTTCAACCTGGGGTAGAAGGCGAAGTCGATCTTGCTTATCTCATATGGGGAGTGCCGTTTTTCGTCGAGCTTTCTAATTTCCCTGGAAATTAGTGTCCAAACGTGGTGCGAATTCTCCGGCACAAACCCTATCAAGTTCGGTCTGGACGTTGATATAAATATTTAGGCTGAAATCCACCAAATTCGGCGGAATAACCCCCTAATATTCGGATTTTACTAACAGACAGTCAGTAGCATATAGTAGTACATAGACACTCCTACTTTTGTCTTGTTTGTTTGAAAGACGAAGTCTCCCTTGTCTCTCTCCGCTTGCCCCCAAACGGAGGTTTAATGTCCGTTGAATCCGAGGTCCCTGTCAGACCTTTAATCGAGTTATCATAGGCAAAACGAAGAGTGTTATTACTGTCAGGTGGTTCATGGTCCGTTCAGGCGACTTTATCTCTTGCTGTCACTTGCAGGCCGTTAAACAGGGCCAAGCTGACAGCTCCGGTTTGGTATCTAGTCAGAGTCTCGCTTGTCCCTCATATCGGCGGACCGTTTTCGGCAAAATTCCTAATTTCCGCAGAAATTATGTGCTACCTTGGAGCAAATTCTCCGACACAAACCCTATCAGGCTTGGTATGAATATTGATATGAATATCTAGACTGAAATCCATTTGATTCGGCGGAATAAACCCGTAATATTAGAATTCTGCCAACAGACAGTCAGCAGTGCATAGATACTGACTGGTTACCCATAATCGCATTAGGAATAGCAGATAAAAGGTCAGACACGTGCCCGGCACACAGTTACATGTACAAACTGGAGAATTTGGGTAAAAACAAACTTAATGGGAAGAAAATCCTGCAATCGCTTCATTGCTCACGCCAAACTGAAGCATCTGTTCATGCATTATGCTTCTCAATACAAAGGTCTGTTGGCATTGTGAAACGTTAATCATGTGCTCCTGGTTATCTGCAGTTCACAAATCCCCGCTTGCCACAATTTAAACGCTCCGTTCGGTGTCTGTGATTCCCGTAAACGTTCTCTGTTAAAAACATATCTTAGGACGGACTTCGAGGCTAACGACAGCACACACCGGCATTAATAAAGTGTTGACTAAAATCTTGAAATTTAATTTAAGATTTCAGTATGTTGGCTTTCGGCTGAACCTCTTCTGTCATCTATGGTCTGCAGGTTTGTATTTAATCATAATTTTAGCGGCGTGCACCGTTTCCATCGATTTACGGAGGTAGTCTGAATTCCATCTGCTTACTGGAAAGTATTAATAGAAAATATCTTTATCGTAATTTTGGAGATGGCAGCGCTCTCGGAGGTTAGAACTTTATGAATGGGAGTCCTTTGTTCTTGGTAAACTGTTGTAGTAGAATTTTCTAGACGTTCATTTGAATATTCGCGCAGTCTGATATTCACAAGCTTCGTACTGTTGTTTGCAAACTGTACGAGATGGTCTCGATCTACCTTGATATTGTATGGGCGCCAGGTGGTCTTGTCATAAAAAACAGTTACATTCTCAAAGAGGACTATCATATGACCTGGAATAAATGAAATGCTTTTGTTGTTTTCCAGATATGCTTGCACTAAGGATTTCCTATAATGCAAAGACATTCGGTGTGCCCAAGAGTAAGCGTTAGGCAGACGGGATTTTAGACAAAAACGAGCATAGAAATGCCATGTTTTTATATTCCTCTGAGAAGTACAACACAGGAGTCCAATATAAATGCAAACAGTATTCGGTCGGATTTTGTTTCGTGGCCGTATCTACAGTAGACAAGCACCATCCTAACCCTGACCCCTAACCCCAACTCCTAAACCCTAACTCCTAACAGGTACGGCCACGAAATGGGACTTTGCCCAGTATTCATTACGCAAGTACTGTATTTCCTCCAATTGCGACTGACGTTGAGAAGAGGAAGTTCCTCTTTTAAAGGTGGTCGCTTTGTGCGAATAAACACCGGACTAGGCTCCAGGCCAACCACAATCTCAGTAAATTGCCTATTCCTGTGTAAACTATGCCAGCTAATGTTTCACTAGTTTACGCGACCTCCTGCTCTCCGACAGTTCTACCATCACAGATAATGAGGCCTCGGTGGCCATCTCTGCACGGACTTTCGAAGCATCCATTTCACCCCTCCTCCTGTATCCACGTCCTAAGATAAGGCCAAAATGACGGCAGTTGAGGTGACTCGCTTGTGCGTGCCCCACGGCATAATCCCTAGTCCCGCGCGAACCAGGTTTCAGAGGGGGAGGCAGTCTCGGCGCTCACTTCTGGGCATTTTATTAAGGCAGTTAGGCAGGACAGGCATACTATGCCGATTTTTGCGCAGTTTATGGGGCACCAGTGATGGGGGGTGGGGTCCGCGTGGCTTCCCACCACTGCACGAGCCACCCGTTGGTTGGTTCAGGGGCTTAGTATATGCAACAGCGCTGAGCCGAAGGGATAGTTTGGGCAACGCCTGTCTGAAACATCCATCCGATGTCCGTCTCATTTCGCTCTGACTCTCGTAAGTGACCGACCGGGCCGATGCGTTGGGTGAGTGTGCGATAACAGTTTGGGGAATATCGGTCGGGAGCTGCAGAGTCGGTTTCGGTGGTGGTGGTGGTGGTGGTGGTAGTACCGATGCTGCTAGTAGTGGACGTGCAGGACAATGGGGGTGTTTATTAGGCTAGACATGTTCCTTCTAGACATAAGGTGCTCCGGCTTGTCCCCTTCCCTCCCCCCTCCCCCTACCCCCGAAGTCCATACTCGGGTTAGACCGCAGCAGCTGTCTGAGTCGAACCAGCAAATAAGCCCCGGATTTACCCTTTGGGACATTTTGAGTCTGATAAGCACGAGCGTGAAGAACACGTCTCCCCCCTCCCCCCACACACCATGAGCTTCCGGGGGGGACACTTGCGAAGGTGCGCCAGACAGTTTCAATCCCGCCGAAAAAGACTGGAGATCAAAGAACCACCTGCCATTTTGAATGCAACTCACAAAACAGCTGGATCGTCGCAAACGACGATGTTCACCGCGTGCTCCACGGACTGGGCGCAGCATCGGCGACTTGCGCGTGAATTTTTCAATTGAGAGACAGACTTGCGCAGCGTATTCCGCAAGACAATGTCAAAACGACCGGAGATGGGCGCCGGCGCGGTGGCTGACAAAGCTGACAGCTTTCAGCCGAGTGCAAGTTTCACTTTCTGACATTCGTGTAGAACTGTTAGAAGGAGCGCTTCCAGTTAGACGCGTTCAAACCGTCTGATAGGGGACGAGCACTGCTTCCAGCTGAGTTGCCCTGTCAATATCACATGAGATCGCGGCAATTAACGACGCCGGGGCGGACGGCCAGGCATTCATTGCAATAAGTACTACCATCTAAGGATGAGTAGAAATTATCGGTTTTCACCCAATTCTGTTGTTACTTTGTTTCACTGACATTTTAGCCGATGTGGAGGCCTCGGTGCCTATAAGTTGCTGCCTTAGCTGAGGCTAGTACGAAGGGTTCACCGGGAAGACTTCACAATGACAGGCTCAGTTACGTAATCCCTTGGTTAGGAAACAACAGAATTTATCGCCTCGTACGATGGAAAGAAGAAGTCCAAATGGTCGTCATCCCTCCGTGGAATAAAAGGATAGTAGGAGGAATGGCAACGATCTAAAAGCCCACTGTAAGTGAATGTCGCGCTTTTCGTAAACCAAGCAGGCGAGATCTTATTTCGTAGCAGTACCTGTTAGGGGTTAGTGTTGGGATTAAACCCCTATTACCACTGCTCCCGTATGACAGGCGGCTGGGGCTTGTCTACTGTAGGTAGGGCTACGAAATAAGATCCGACCACCAAGCAAACCAGGCGCTTCTCCTCTGCAGTGACTATTTGTGCTGAAAATAAAGCGGTTAGGCGCTTTTGACTACTGATTGTGTAGTAGGGGAGGGGGGGGGGAGAGGGTGTGCGTCTTAGGAAAGGAGGCGCGAGGTTCGTAAAGGAGTTTCAAGAAATCGGTCACTTCCAATTAGCCACCGACTGATATGGCCTGGCTGGGCTTCGATGGCCAAGTTCCTCAGGCCTTAGTTAGATCCTTCTTGACGTCGGCCTGCGAAATTGCCTTCACGCTCTTGAGCTTGAGATCGGGATCTGTCTCCGGGGTGTGGACGCCAGCCTTTATATACTTAATGACCCCGCGCCACCAGTCTGGCTTCATCAAACTCCCGTCTTTACGATGTGGATCTAATCAACGACTCTCCCAAACAACCATGGCTTCACGCCAAGTATTCAGGCGGCGCTGGTATTACTCCATTGACTACTTCCTGTATGCTGGAAGAAACAAACTTCCCACCGTCCATCGGGTGTCTTTCAGCCCTCTGTACTCGCCTCCTGCCCTACCTGTCTGCTGCTCTGGCTTGATCCTTTACTCTGTGAACAGGGTTAACATTTTAATTGCATCGACAGCATCTTTGTTTACTAAGGACAGACAGTGGCCGCCGCAATTCATTTTGATCAGCAGCGGAGGATCGTGGAGTCACATTTGCCATCGAAGCCGTTCACTCCCCTACCTGTGTGCCTACACGTGGACGGGGATTCTCGAACGGTCAAGACTCGTTCCACCATCAGCTCATTACTTGTGCACACCGAGAAAGGCAAGACTAGCGATCCCACTCCAGCCTTTCCTTCCTCTGAGGCGAATTTTCTTTCCCTCCATGTCACATATTGGATGCACCGACACTCCTAAAACGTTGGCAGAAGTTTTTTTTGATATACTCTCCGGTGGAAGATATTATTTAAGTGAGATTCTAAAAACGGTTAACACAGACAGTTCTGCTTGGGTATATTTCCATCATTTTGCATGAATTATATTCGGCAAGAAATTACAGCTTAATTGCTTTTGATCTTTCTAGTTTATTTGCTATGCTTATGCGTACCGAGGACCAGTGCCGACAAAGACAAAAAAGACTGGGATGGCCATTTCTGACTTATTAGCCGTGGACCGGGCATACTAGATCAAATGTCTTCATGGCTTGGGATTTAAACCCGGACTCGTTGGCCATGGTCATGTATATATATACTTAGTGGAGATAGAAAGGTGTGTAGGCAGATGATATGGATATATCTCGGTTTTATCCTGCCTTCAGTTGTCCACCCACAACTTTAACAGCCGCCTGGGAATCATCTGCGCGGAGGTTTGCGCTTCTGGTTTTGGATGTTGGTGCTGGCGTAAGGTATATTCCTGAGGCACTTCATACTTTCCAACAGGCTAAATTTACGCTAGCAAGCTGTAAAGCCGCCAAAGACTGTCATTTGTCGATCAAATAGCTGTCTAAAATGCTATATATCTGTCTTTCCTCTCTATTAACCGTGCAAAACTGCTTAATTTTTCACGAACGAGACGATAAAAAGTTCATTCATTATGACTGTTTCCCTCTTTCTACTCCAGCCGTTTATCGCAACCCTATTAGTTATGCTTTAATTACAGACCCGATCGCCCTCTCTCCGCATGTGCTCCCTAATCACGCTTGAATGAACGTCAATCTGTGCACTGACAGTTTGATCATTTGTCGTTTTAATCACCCACTTAGAAACCACTGAAACCCATGGCCACCAAAATGGTCTGCTCAGTAAATAAGTATTTTCGCAGACACATAAATGAATTCTAGTAATTTGCCACTTCCAAATGCTCTGGCTTAAAAACGTGTTATTATGTCACGCCGTGGACGCTTTTTGCCTACGAGAAACCAAATATCCGCTGGTCTGTTGATTCCGTTCATGAAAGACAAATTGACCGTGGTATATGCAAATATTTATGGTGTTTAAAGCATATCTAGAGAGAATCTTTCAAAAGACCTATTGCGACATCTTCATTGAGTATGCCAACCTAGTAGCTTCCAAATCCTAAGGGTTAAATATTTTGGAGTCCCCAGGAATAGCGGTATTTTTAAATACCAAAATCGTTCTCGTTTTCTGGTACGAACCCCCGAGAAGACGGACGTTCCGCGGAAGGAATAAAGGGGGGGAATTTTCATCACTTTCTAGATAAACTAAGCAGCTGTTGTGTCCAGAGAAAACCGATAGTCAACAGCATAAATTGTTTGGGTCTACCTGCAACATGTTTTTCCCCGAATAAATTCGAATAAAACGGAGGTTACGACGGAAGCAGTGTCTAATGGTGTAATCAACTTCCGGGAATTTTTATCCAGTACTGCCTTGCACTCATCCTAGGCCGTCACTATACTAACGACCCATTACCAGCAGTTACGCAAAAACCATTTACAGTTGAGTCAGAGGTCCAGAAATGTAGGGACTCCACGAATCTTAACCTTGTTAAGGCTAAAGTATGTATTGTTTTCTGATTTATATCCTCCCAGCCCGCTTACGGGTTTGTAACGAGAGAGTTGACATTTCATAGTGCGTAAAACGACTTGAAATGGTGCTTCCTTAGATTACCTCCATTAAAGTACATCTCAAACAGTATTCCCTTTGCTATTACCGACAAAGACAAGAGAGACTGGTCATACTCAACCCCGAAGTGTGGCACACCCGAGGCTCGAACTCGCGACCTGTTTGTTAGAAGTCCACGCCTCTAACCACTGAGCCACGAGCCCGTTGTCCTGTCCGCTTTCGATCGGGAATATACAATGGTAGGGGACGCTTACCGATCGTTCTTACGGAACTCACTCGTTCCGTTGTGCATTATGGACTCTCTCTCTCTCTCGAGCCCAACCAGTCGGTAATATCATTCTGCCTATATCATGCGCCGCTGTGCGGCCGCTGGTTGGGCTCGAAAGACGGAGAGTCCATAAGGCACAACGGAACGAGTGAGTTCCGTAAGAACGATCGGTGAGCGTCCCCAACCATAGTATTCCCTTTCTGTCCGCAAGCATGAGGAGTTGAACCACGGTTTCACGAAATCTGACGTCTTTTGTGCGCAGGTCTGTGGCCATGGAGGTAGCGGGTTTCATATCCTACCAGACCTGTGCCATACCAGCTTTTTGCGCGCACACAGGCGGTCAGCCCTCGGTATAAATCATACTTAATTCGTGTGCATGCGTACATGCGTGCGTTTGTGTGTATGCGTGTGCGTGTGTGTTCGTCGTGGGGGTGTTTCTGGGTGTGACCACCCTTTGACCGTTTAGAGAAGGTAGCCAGCACCTCACAAGAGACGCGCGTGTGTGCGTGTCTGAATCATGTTTGCTCGGCCTAAGCACGTCGGCGCCTCCCCCGGTTGTGAAAGCCACAAGCCTCGGGACTTTTGGGACCTCGAAATATAACTGGTGGGGCCTGTGAACAACCGATATGCGGGGAAGCTGGACGATCAGGATGCCTGCCAGGCGAATCTAGCGTCCCATCTGGCTGCGGTCAAATTGCCACTTACGTGGAGCAGGCCGAGGGCATTGGAACGTTCAACTCCTCGCTACATTCTCCCGACAGATGGGTAAACATGGGTCGTACATGGCCAATGGTCGATGAGGCGAAGTAGTTGTGAACGGTTAGAGCCCGGCAGGAGCCCGCATCGCAGGCGGCCCATTATACAGTTGCACCCTGTCTGCCCAGACAGTTTGGTATTCGTTTACACAGGAAGTTGCAAGCAACATTCATTCAACGCACCCATAACTGCCCCATTGCTTCCTCGCGGTATTCATGAAGACTTTGGACTTCTACATTCTCATTTATCTAGTGGGGCATATCTTGCAGACACGCATATTGGTGTTTGCTGGAACTCACGACGTGGGGACGAGATTTTAGGATTAGTATAGATAGAAAATTATGCTGAACGAATAAAATCCATTTGCATTTTTCCACCCGGAAATAGACAAGCAGACCAAGGACTACAGTGAGTGACCGATCTGATAAAATGTGGGCTGAAATTCCGAAATGCATTTTCGATTGGGAAGGATTACTTGGGCGCGGTTGTAATACTGATTATCTTGCGGCATAATCATATAATATTTCGGACTCGGCAGGATGTCGGCTTTTCAATACACTGCTTTTCAATCTCCTGTAGGAACCGCACTCGGTAAAAAATGAATACTTAAGTAGCATGCGTTTTCCCATTGATTTTCGAAGGTCTTGCAAATTCAAATATATCTTAAAAACCATGAACAAAAATATGCTTTCTTTCAGTCGTTTGATAGAGAATCACATCATCTGCATATTTTATACTTAGGTTTTAAAAAGTTTCTAATTATGAGATTTCTTAAGACCGCGCAATGTCCATTTACATAGCATCGTACCTGGTCGTTTACCACAGCTCCTCATGAAATGTACAACATAGTCCGCATTCATTGCAAAATGTTATGGATTTTGTACGATATCTTTCTAATGACATAGAAAAATATGTGATTTTCTTCACGTGGAACGCATGCACCTGGTAGAGTGCAATCCCTAAGCGCTAATGCAACGAATGATCAGGCTCCAAATTACTCGGCAATTAGAAGACTTTTTTAAAACCTAAGTATACTCCTTCTTCGAGTATAAAATATGCAAATGACGTGATTCTCTATCAAACGACTGAAAGAAAGCATATTTTTGTTCATGGTTTTTAAGATATATTTGAATTTGCAAGACCTTCGAAAATCAATGGGAAAAGGCATGCTACTTAAGTAGCCATTTTTTACCGAGTGCGGTTCCTACAGGAGATTGAAAAGCAGTGTATTGAAAAGCCGACATCCTGCCGAGTCCGAAATATTATATGATTATGCCGCAAGATAATCAGTATTACAACCGCCCCTAAGTAATCCTTCCCAATCGAAAATGCATTTCGGAATCTCAGCCAACATTTCATGAGATCGTTCACTCACTGTAGAGGCTTTCACGGAGGGGTGGCAGTTGTCGGAATAAATTCAATGGGTGGCGTAACTCATGAGATTTGACTAAATGTACGAAACAGTATTAGTCCAGTCGAATCGACCACTACTCCAAACTGATGATGAATAGGCTTCACTGAAGTGTAACCATCAAAGAAGTTTCGAAGGTAATATTGCGTTGGTTGGAAATAATAATTTTTTTAAAGCGGAAATGCTGGAAACTGATATTCCTGTTAAATGGGTAAACTTGATTCGCATTAGTGAGCGAGCTTTTCTGTGCCTCTCCTGGTTTACGAGGGCTAAAAATTGATTTTCAAGTTGACGAAGATTTTTTAGTAAGCCCTTCCGATTAACTTAATGCCCTCTTGCTGAAAAATACGTACTGATGAATAAAAATGACCCAGAACAGTTAGTAACATAGGAAATCGACCCAATATAAGGTAATCTTGAGGTTCGTTCAACAAAGAAAACCCTTTTCTTGGAGAAAATTACTTAGAAGCACATTCTGCATGAGAAGAAGACTTTCCTGACTGCGTTAGGTTAATAAGCAAGGTACTACGTTCAGGCTGCCCCAAATGGTAATATACATTGTCGGCCACCAAGTCTCATGAATAAAGATAGAGCCAACACTGCGCCCCACCCCCCCTCATTCTAAGACAGTTGTTTTGCCCTTTTTTGATAATTCTGGTCGTTTTTTACAGCCAATCGATGGGTTCGCTTGGTGAAGCCCTCTGTTACAAATTCGTGCAGAGGAAAGTTTATCATTTTTGATTGGTTGCCTTCTACTCTGGTGTTAGAAAACACCAACATGTCATATCCGGTCGGTCTCAGGACTTACAACAAATCTGCGCACGGTTTCCGTTACTAGAAAACAACAATTTTAAAAATTGAAACTTTACTTATGTGGTACAAGCTTTACGACTGAGCGAACACATACAATAAAATTCCCATCTATCTCAATCCTATATATTCTGGCGACGCACAAGAGCGTGATAAGTGACCTTGTATCATTCGCAATTGACAGCCGGATCGTCTGCAGAAATGGCATTTTTTGTTAAAAAATGGTCACAGATCTTCCGCACTAAACGCCTACCTAGTCATGTTGCTTAAATTGTCTAGTGAGAAATAGATTTGCTGTGCGAATGTGTTCTTTGCGTGCTATGCTAATTGTCGAAGCTACTGAGAGGCAAGAATATCCGGATTATGCGAAATATTCACAAGTCTTTAAAAATAAACCCTTGAAGCAAGGAAATCAGTGAATACTTAAATGTCATTGAATGGACATACAGGAATATGGACCCCGTATTACAGTTAGTTTTGTGCTAAACTCCGTGGGTCTTAGGGTCAGTAAAGTTAGGACACGGGAATAGGTACTCCCTGGAATTTATTGCGAGACCATCTGTAGTAGTGGGGGGGGGGCATATTCCCACGTCCGGTCATTTCGTTAAATATTTAATGTGGGCCTTTTTCGTACTGATCAGTCAATCCGTCTAGACTGGAGTGTCGAACAGCACTAGGATATACATGTGCCATTCCCAACCAACACCCACAATTCCAGCTTGCCTGCTTATGCATTTCCTCGGCGTGGCACTTAAATTTGAACTTCAGGCGTCCAAAACTAGGTGAAATATGCTATGAGAAAAGGCCAACTGTCCTCCCAAAAAGCCAGTCCAGAAGTCAGTCGTCCAGTCTAACCAGTGTTGCCGAGGTCTCTATCGGCTTATTCATGTCATGCGGTTGACTGGTGAGCTATCGATTTCACTTTCTTTTGGTATGGCTGGCGTGGCGGTATGCGACAATAATCAGCGCTGTGTCACTGCCGTGCAGCAGAACGACCCGTATCTGTTTCACGCCTAGTTACCATCGCCAGCAGACGCGAAAGTCCTTCCGCCTGATCCGGAATTCGAACTGTTGGCCCCGAGGTAAAAATGTTGATTGGATGTGGTTATGTGGCCCCACCTGAAGTGAACAAACCTCAGCCACCTGCAATACGGGATCGGTGGTAATAGGAGGTTTTTACAGGTGGGGCTGGGGAGAGCACAGGCGACGAGGTCAAGTAATTATTTGCAAAAAAGCTATTGGGAATGCGCGGTTGTACGTGGAGTGGTTGAGAAATAGGTGCCCTAACCCGTAACCATAACCCCTAACCCCGTGTCCATCAGGTGGGACTACGTAACCAAATCTTACCAAATCGTTCTCAAAATACAGGCGCGCATGGCACTGTGAGGCATTGCAAACGCAAGAGTACTGGCCTTGAATATCGGGATTAGTTTCCTTATGTGACATTATTACGTTAAGTGTCCTACTAAAAATGCCGCTGGTGAAATAAGATTTTCTTCTGTATTGGAAGTGCGTCCACCAATCGGGTAAGGGGGCGTGCTTGTCCCGTTGTGTTTCGGCATCCGCAGGTGGACGTACCGCGATTTGTAATAGGAGTAGAAGGAGATTGCCGACTAAGGACGACTGAGATGGCCACCTCCGGCCTTTTAGCTGCTGTCAGATGGCCTTACTCGCCCCTTGATTTTAAATTTTACACTCTAGTCAGTCGCTTTGGCTAGGACACGCGACTGAGCGGTTACTTGAGCAAGTTCTGGGCGCGATTTAGTCAAGGGAGCTGTCCAGCTACAGCAGAGTATGTGAGACGGTATTTCAATCTATTGTATGGTTCTTCCTTCAGTAGCCGGAGCTGGCGTGGGGGCCATAGAATAGATAAAATATTGCTTAGTTCGCACCGGGATACCGGAAGCTTCCAGAGTCTACAGCATCCTTTCCCAGCACTTACATCTCTCTCTCTCTAGGTTTCCTTCCTTTTGTTACACTTCGTCAGCAAGCACGTCCTGCATCGCTGACGTGCATCTCTAGTCCCTGGTTCTCACGTCCAGACTCACAGTACGTCATCGCCCAGGAGAAGGCGGAGGAGAAAGAGGTGAGAAGCGTCTAGTGGCCGACTTAGCGAAACAAAGCTGGAGGCGGAGGGGGGGGGGGGTTGATCCGTGGCACGCTAAGCCCCCCCATTGGTGCAACCCAGCTCTTGAGATTAGATCCGCACGAGGAGAAACGGGGAACTGAAAGATGTACAGCAGTCATTTGGACGGGGGGGGATAGGACTTTGGCGATGTGAATGAGGACGAAGCCGAGTAGGAAGCCCTTGGTTTTTATCGCTCATCAGACAAACAAATGCGTTTGCCAGAGAGTTGAAATATGACGGTCACCCTCGACTCAGCCTTATGGGGAAGTCCAACAGTCTACCGTTCCGATGCCTCCGTTATCATCCAAATGCACGATGTCAAAGCTGACAAATTCCTGCGCTCCAATTATAAGCGGCCTATGTGTTAATCTTGTCGTCCAATTCTTGTTAGTTTAATAAGGATTTGAGGCAAGACCTAAGTATATAACCACCCCCCCCCCCACCTGAAATCTATGCTTACATGGTTGCTACTTACTCTTATATAGGGAGACGTCTGGATTTGGTTATCGACCTAGGAAATGACACTTCCGGCATTTCCTTCGGCTCCCGCGACTCAGCCAACGCTTGGTTGTCTACCCTGAGAAGGATGCATTTGAAATTATACTCACCTTATTTACCTGCTTGGTGACAGCTCGCGTTGCAAAGTCGCAGGAAAAGACACTGTAGTGACCTTGTACGGCGGCATGACGGGACTTTGCTCCTATTGATGCGATACAAAATTCAACCATAATGACATTTGATTGTCCAGCCCGGACTCAGCAGCTAAACGTCTAATAGGGACTGCACAGTTTAGAAACGTTCACGTTATTGTGGGATGACAGTATCAGGGGATGGTTCTGCTGGTACCGCCCTCGTAGGCATCGTGAACAGCATTCAACAATGACGTCAGGCTGGTATTGGGGCTTGCAGTGTTCATGAGACACAGAGCGATCTGGATGTTGATTTGGGGGGAGGGGGGAGTGGAGGGGAAGGCTGATGGTTGTAGTTCAGCATCTGGATTATTCAGATGTTACTATTATTTGCGTGCTGAACAGTCACTGACGGGAAGTTGCTCCCAGAGAGCTACTACATCCTGTCTAATTCACTCTTACCCGGTCAGCTGGCATCACCTACTATGTCGATGCACAATTCACGCTCAAGTCAGCCGTCCATGCAAAGCCGAAAAAACATCAGACTTGGACCCGAGCGCATTTGTTCGGTGCTTGGGAATCACCTTTACTGATGTGGTTCCATGCTGAGTGTCATTAAGCACGAGAGAAGAAATACAAGCTGAAGTTTTTATCGTTATCTCTGAAGTACTATGGGTCGGATCTTATTTCGTAGCCGCACCTGCAGTAGACAAGTCCCAGCCCAACCCCTAACAGGTATGGCTACGAAATAAGATCTTGGCGTACTTATGTCATCTGTAGCATCCATATGCTCTGACCTGTTCGACCCTCCGTATTCTGGCTCACGGGTTGGCGCCGGGGACTGGGTAGCTTACCATTGTGGAATGGGCTGAAACCTCAAGCCGGTGTGCTTCGACGTCAGGCTCTACATGCGTGGCGATGCTGATTGTGTGTTGGTTTTTTCCTTTTTCATTATTTCCTAGGCAAAATATGGTTGAGCGACCTTACTCGGATCATGTCAAAGGTCACCGACAAGTGTGAGCGAGGGAACCTCTGTGTCGGCAGTCTCGCTGCGGATATGTCCGCGGAGTTCTTCAACCTCCTGTTCGCATTCGCAGCCATCGCCCTCCGCTATCCTTCCGTCTTCTGGCGAGCCAACCGCTCATTCTCCTTCCTCTTCTCCTTCCTCCTTGTCCTCTTGGGGATACAGGCCCTCGTGGAAGTGAGTACGGCACATGTACTAGTCAAACTCTGTTGGAACACACGAGCCCTTCCGCTGGGCGCTGCTGTGTTATCGGCCGTCTGCACAGAGGTGCCGGTCTCCACTCCTCCCCCTCCTCCGCCCCCAGAACCCCCACAGGACAGTGTGAGGGCCCCCCTGTCCTTCGATGATTTGCTGCCAGAGAGCGCGGAAGGTCTGCAGAGCGGCACGCCCCTCTTCCTCTCCGTCTCTGGAAGCCTCTTAATGGTCTGCCTCTCCGCCAGCATATTCGAGTACGGCCTACAACAGCTGCCTTCCAGGATGACTGGCCTGCGGACGTGTGCTCTAGACGGCAGCGCGGGCGGTTGCCGCGCGGAACACGTCAACACGCCGACCTCTGGTCTGGAGGAGGGGGGCTCAGCGGACTCGGCGGTTGCTGGGGTGGCGGGTGGTGCCACGGGCTCGAACAGAGACTTCTCCAGTGAGTCGGGGGTCGGTGGTGTAGCGGCGACAACAATGGCGGGATCGGCCGGTTCTACTGCGTCGCGCCGCAGCTTCTTCCCTCATCTGGTTGCGGTGCTGGGCAGTTTGGTTGTCCTGGCCATCAAGGTGCCCCTGGTGGTGGCATGTATTCAAATCTACCAGGTTCGGCGGGAGAACCTAATGCTGGCAAATGTGCTCATTACGATCCTCTTCTTCTGTGTCTGGTTCATTGCCTGGTTTGCATTCTGTCTGAAGCCCTCTTGGAACTTCAAGGTGAGATCTCACTCGAGAACCGCTGAGTTTGCATTGCGAATACAGGAGTTATTTTCACGGTTGGTGGGCTAAATCATGAAATGTCGACCGAAATTCCGAAATGCGTTTTTGTTTCGAAAAGATTAACTAAGTAGGGTTGTAAAACTAGTCAGCCTGCAACGTAATTCTATAATAATTCACTTACCTCAGGATGCCTGCTTTCAAATGAACTTCCTTAAAGCTGCATGCAAAAACCACACTCTGTAAAAAATGACCACTTATGTAGTATGAATTTATCTCACTGATTTCCGATGCCCCTAAAAGTCCAATTATATTTTATGGAAAATATGCATAAAAATATTCATTATTTCGCTCATTTGGTAGACAGTTACATCTTCCAATCTTATACTCGAAGGAAAGGTATAATTTGGTTTTCAAAAACTTTTCCAATTCCCGAATAAACTTGAACCCGCTCTACCGTTACACTTGAATTCAGGGCTTCCAAACTACAAGCCGTCTATTTTCCGCGTACGGAAAACCACACATTTACCTACGGTAATTAAGCAGTGGATTCGAGCTATATTGTTAACTTTACAAGCCACATTGGTAAATGCTGAGGCATGACGATTTATGAACGGCCATTTCACGGTATTTAAAAGTCCCAAAATTAGAAACTTTTTTGAAACCGAATTGTGCCCCTCATTCGAGTATAAAATTAGAAAAAGACGTAATTATCTACCGAAGGGGCGAAATAATGAATATTTTTATGCACGTTTTCCATGACATATAATTGGACTTTTAGGGGCATCGAAAATCGATGAGAAAAATTCACGCTACTTAAGTAGCCATTTGTTACCGACTGCAGTCTTTTCATGCAGCCGGAAGGAAGTTCATTCGAAAGCCGGCATCCTGAGGCAAATAAAAAATATTATAGAATTATGTTGCAGGCTGACTAGTTTTACAACCCTACTTAATCTTTTCGAAACGAAAACGCATTTCGGAATTTCGGTCGACATTTCATGAGTTAGACACCTACTGTATGCTGAGCACATATCTGAACTGGAAAGCATTAACTAAACGATCGTAGATACAAGCATAGGTTATTGGTGGCGACAGCAGTCTACGAATATGGCATTATTTCTTTCATCTTTGTCTGTTTCCGTAACTGAGGGTGTGTACGAGCCTGAACCCCTCGACTCAAAAGGATAAACTCATCAACTAATAAATTCCGCAATGAACCCAGTCTCTTAGGCGTGCTTACTACTGTTTAGATCTTAATACGATAAGTGACTTATTTTGTCGGGTCGCAAGTAATAACATCGTCCGTGTGGCCCACGTAACGGCTGCAGCAGCGGTGACGTGTGCGTGAATTAGTTTATAATGAGGGCGACTTGCGCAGCGTCTACCACACACTCTCTCTCCTCCCTCCCTCACCATGCTTTGGTGTCAAAACGGACTCAGGGCTACCAGAGGTGAGTGCAAACGCAGTTGTTGACTGGGCTAAGCGTTCCGTCTACGCGTGCCATACACCCGACCTGATCCCCACTTCAGACGTACAAGACTGCTCTAGGAAAGCTTGAGTCTCATGTATTGAGAATGCATAGGATATTGTTTTAGATAGGGGGAATGCGAGTACACGTAGAGCTGGGGAGCCTATCGTCCGTAGAACATCCAACCCTCGATCGGGAGGTCGTCTAATTGACTCCGCTTGGACGTACGTATTTTCTGCCTTGTAAAGTCCCACATTTTTCCGATTCTGTCATGGAAAATGCTCTAACCGCAAACACTTTGGGGATAATCTACTGAGCTGTCTCAAAACAGCGTATGTTACCGCCCACGACGTGGAAGATTGCCAACTAATAGAAGGCCCAGTTCTTTGAAAAGGGCCAGACTGCAGTGGCTGCTTACTTAGGCTTCGATGGTACATATGTGTGGGGAGCTAATCCGAAAGCCGGGGTGTCACAAAGGCTAGAGCTTGATGTCTCTGCCGTAATGGTATCGTCTTCACCCATCGATCGTTCTAGTGGGTGTCCACACATGTCTGGCTACTGTAGCGCGGTGGGTTCTGGATGAAAAACCAGTCGGTATTTCGGAAGTTCTCCACGCGCTGAGTTGCTGTACATGCAACTTGCAACTGCTCGAGGTCTGGAGTAGTCTTAATCGAAAATGCTTTACGATCCTTTTGGAGCTGTGGGCACCCTGCCGCTAGGCAATGGGAAGCACCCCCTACTGTTGCCAGTCCGGAGTTATAGACTGTTTCAATTATCGTAGGGTCATTTTATTGCTAGAAGTGCGGTATAGGCCTGACTCCATTGTCTGGAACGATGTCGCTCGCAGTTTCTGCAAGTCTGGGTCCTTCACACCATCTTGATCATGGCAAAACTTTGCGCGCGCCAAACATTTGTCCAGGCAGTTCTCCCTCCCTGCGGTTGTGAATTCTGAGTGGCGCTCCGGGAACAAGAGCAAAAACCGGATGTTATTGAATGTTATTGCCTGAAAACTGAACTCCTATTGAGGCACTTAGACTTCGTCCTGAGAGAGGGAGAGTCCTCAGTCGCTGCGGCCGCCTCGAAAAGATATCTCAGGTCCATCAATAACGACGCCCAAGGTGGATCCAGGACGTTCTCCGTCGTTCGTCCCGTGAGTTCAGTTCTGTTTTGCTAACTATAAGACGATCATCTCGCTGGAGGCGGCAAAGAGGTGACTAGCATGAAACCTGACTCGGCACAGACCATCAGGACATGGGGATGGTTATTGAATCTCCGGCATCTGGTCTCCGTTGGTATTGGAAAAAGGGGATCTAACTCCCCGAATTCTTGACCGTAGTTTGTCGTGCGTGGAGGGACACTACACGGGTGAAATCGATCCCAGTTAGATCAGCGTGATCAGAGTCGAATCTTCAAGTAGTTTGTAGACCAACTGGCGTTAAAGAGCTTTTAGAAGGGTATACACTCGAGGAGACATAATTTAGAAGTAGCTATTTAACTCCTAGTTTGCAAGAATACGTATGGGCAGAGTTGCCGCCACCTTACTCGTTGCAGCCTCTTAAGCAGGCAGACTCCTTTGCAGTTGCATACTGCTCATTCTAATTCTGCGAGAGGGAGGTGTGTGTACGAACCAGAAGTTGATGCGAAGAGGACAGCTAGGTCGGGGAATGGGGAACGCTTACCGGAAACGCCTAAGGTGCAACCTCGGAAAGGTTTAATAGTCTGACAGAATGGTACATTTATCATACGGTCGTTAGTGCAGTTTTATTTTTTTTCACGAGGGCGGGAAAAGAAATGGCGTTCGGCGCAACTGTCCTCTCTCTCTGGGGTAGTCAGATATTTCTTACCCGGGCGGACGCATACATCTGTTTAATTTCTTGCCGACGTCACCCTGGGTTACGCCCTATTTCCTCGCGCTACTGACTTTCGTCTCGGAACAGCCTTCCCCCGTAGAGCTGGGACTTGGTGTTCTGGCGTCCAACCTGGTGAAATGGTACTCCGTTTGCTTGACCAGAACGAACGGGAAATCTTGGGCTTCAGGTCAAGCCAGTCATTGACGACGACGGCCACACTTGAAAGGTAGCGCACGTCAGCCCTCTGCCAAGCAATTCTGCCTGTGCTGCCTGGGTGATCGGGTGTCGACTTCGGTCGTTGCTGCTACTTAGAAGACGCTAGAATACGTCACCCACTCACACAAGCACCGGCGACGGTTGAGGTCACTGTGACAACCATGGCTTGGCACGCTTCCCACCCACTCCGTCCTGACAGTAGTTATAGTCCTGCTGCAGGCGATTAGTACATGACGTCAAACGCGTCCCCCAGTTGCTAATATTTCACGCGAATGAGCAGACAATGACCATCCGTCTATTCCTACACCAAGGCACGCAACGCGCCATAGCTTGGCTACAAGTCTCGCCATAGAGAGCGAGAGCGAGAGAGAGACGGGGGGTGGCCAACGATGAACACCCCGTTTGGCAGGCGTTGTGTTATATCTGTGTTTGTCCGGTCCCTTCGATATGTTCACGCATGTATTTCCCGTGTCCCTCATCTCCCCTACACGCAATTTGCCGCCTAACGTACGTGTGAGGGCATGACCACCCTTCTTCCTCTGTGTGTGTGTGCGTGTGTGGGGGATTTGGGATTCACTCCGCGCACAAAATTCTCACACGCGCACGCACAAGTGCTGCTTTTTGTCGGTACATAAAATGGTCTACTCCCAAGTCCCGCTCACTGTCAACGCCGGTGGTGGCGACGACAGATGGATGCAAAACTGACGGTCCTCCCTCGAAGGGAGGGGGGGGGGGGGGCTGGACGACGACAGTATGACGTGTAATTTACCAATGGGGCCCGTAGCTATGGTGTCTATTTGGTGAGAGCGTCCACCAATTAGCAGGCGTAGCCGGGCTTCCCACAGACTACGACTAAAGCGCACTGGCTACGAAAAATGAGCCTCTTTTACGGAAAGAATGTTTACGGGTTGACGTAGCACAGGGTTTCAACAGTCCACAAGTGCCCAGGCTATCTCAAACCAGGGGCTTCGGTCGTCCCAATTTGTGGGGTTGACGCCTTCGCTTTGCACTAAAAAGGTAAACGTTCTACGCAATGCAGTCGTCTGAAGCGCAGTGCGACATAACGTATGTCGTTAGCTAATCAGACCACCGAAATAGGAGACCAAAAATGTTGCAGCACGACTAAGACGGTGACCTTATGCCATGTCAGGTATTGCTTCTGATCTCATATACAGCCCGTCTGACTGCGATTTGTTACTGGTAAACTGGAAGAAAGCGAAAGGATGATGGCGTCGGATCTGCACAAGCCCTCCTCACTATAATAAATCTTGAGCCCTTTTGGATTTATCAAGACACGAAAATTCGTAATCTGAAAGGTTACCAGTTAGAAGCATAATTCGGCCGTCTCCCGGGGTAACGATGAGGTTGCAGTAGCTCCTTTCGAGTGTTGTTTGATGAAAACTCTCGCACCTAGGCGAGATTTTACTACTACTACTACTACTACTACTACTACTACTACTACTACTACTACTACTACTACTACTACTACTACTACTACTACTACTACTACTACTACTACTACTACTACTACTACTACTACTACTACTACTACTACTACTACTACTACTACTACTACTACTATTACTGATGATGACGACTCTGGATTAAACCCCTGCTCTCTACAGAAAATCGAACCAGGGAACATTTGTAGTTCGCACCTATTTCGGAGCATTTACCGCTGAATTAACTAATAATCATCCATTTGGTTCTTTCGTTTAAAGTAGGGCGGTCGGTCTTAATCATTGAAAACATCTTACTGTAGAAGGGCAAAGTTACTCGCCTACGCAAAGGCCAATATCTCGACGGTTCTCCATATGCAGGTTCGACAATACAAACTGTCCATGAGAGGCTTCTGGGAAACTTGTAGACCAGTATATGAAACAGCGACATGCAGGCTATTAAGAGAGATGGGATGAGATTTATGAAGTAAGAATTGCCCTTGCTTACCTATCATTGCGTTACGGGCCGTCAGAGACGTCTTTTAGAAGAGTAAGATCCGGCGATCAGTATGGTCGGAAGAGTGACAGGACGTTGTCATTTGAGCTGAGATTGATCGATTGGGAGGAGATTTTCTGCCGTGAGAGATAACCACAGTCTGGCGTCGGTCGGTAAGATAATCTTTTCCTCTGTTCACCTATTGTCGACGAGATTCGAAATTCAAGAGTATGGTAGTTTAGACAGTTATTTCGTCAATCTACACTAGTCTTCTCTACCCTACGACACCCTGTCGTTTGGGGCCAAGGAGGCACTTTTCATGCCCAAACAGGTTAGAGGAGAACTGAGTCGTTTTTCGAATACCTCATGAGTTACCTAGGTACTTTTCCGTTTATATAAATATGGAGTTTTCCTTGCAGTCTTTCCAATAAACCACAGCGTTTTCTGTCCGAATCACACGGGATTGACAGTAGTCGATCCCTCTTAATTACAGGGCAGAATATGGGTTTAAATCCCAGGAAGTTCCTGTCTAGAGTGGGGGTATGATCGGCTGATACTGACATTTAAGCCGGAAATTGTCACTCAAATGTGCCTTGCGTTTGGCGCTAAAACTCGTTAACTTACCATCGCTATGCACCAAGTATTCATGCAGGTGCGTAGTACTTATTACAACTCTTATAACATCAGTCCTACCTTTCACCTGACTTTAGATGTAAATAACCGACGTAATTTACATTACAAGTCATACACAAGAGTTAGCTACTGAGAATGTGGAGGACCTGCCTCATCGGCAGCGGTAATATAACACACATATGCCCCCTTCCCCACTTGTTCCCGCATAGGTGAGTTGTCAGGCGGCTCCGCGAGCGACTTATCAACACCTTGTCCATCAGCCAATGCGTAATCTCGGTCTGACAGCCTACGGCACCATGACTGGTCCCGGTCCGGGTGGCATATCCGGGGGCACGCGTTCGCTCCGTGCCGGTGCTGGCCTCTGCTCAGGTGTCGCCAATTCCGACCTCAGCAGTCCAAGGGCCGCCGCCGCGGCGGCGGCGGTAGCCCGACTCGCATCAGGCAGTCCTGTCTACGACTGTTACCATGACGACAGTGGTGGAGGCCCGCCCATTTGTCGTGTTGCCCGTGTTGTATCTCGCGCCGCCGCCGCCGCTGGCGCCGGAGATTGCTACAGTGAGGGCACCGAGGCGAGCAGTCGTCAGAGTGGTAAGTCGGACCTTCCATCGACCCCTCTACTTAACACGGCTGTCACCATGCCTCAGTTTCGTCATGCCCCTTTCATGTGCGACGGTCTGCGACCGTGGTTCTGTTGGATTTGACTCACTATTTTTGCCAGCGGGAGTCCATGAACCGCCCCACTAACGGACCGTGCCCAGTCACATTTTGAGTTAATCGATTCGTCGACTGAAGTCGGACTGAGGCGGTGGGTTTATCGTGGAAGGACTGAGCTCAGTAGACAGCTAATAAAACATTTCTTCAATACACCTCGGCCACCATCTTTGGATTTCTTGCGGAGGTATCCCTGCAAGTGTGTTGAGGCGAGCGCCAACTAGGCAATTAAAGATGAAGTCCGAGTGCTTCCTCGGGTGGCCTGGTTTCAGGCGTTGGTCGCTGGAAACCTCCAGTTTTGCTCGTATCCCGGCAGCACTACCCAACCTTCAAAACCGTGAATGACTGACTCGACTGGTCACCGGTCTATCTGACAATGAAACTGGCGAGCTGGGTGTTTTACGCGGTTATCAATGAATCCTTAATACAAGCTGCTTCTTATCAACCACCTGGCTTGTTCTAAGATTTGAATAGGATGTTATCCTACTGGTGTTAAACCGTAATGCAGCGTTGTTTGCTGGCAATTTTCGATCGGTATATTACAGTACCGTAGTCACACATCGTTCTATTGTCGCTTTTAATTTCCTCAGAAATTATCTACGAAGTTGGAGTAGATCAGTTTATTCAAGGTCTATAGGCACAGACCGAGAATTTTATACATAAATATTCGGGCCAAAGTCCATCAGCCACAGCGGGTAACCGCGTAAAATTCATTAACTGCCTACTCCAACTTCTTAGATAATTTCTGAGGAAATTAAAAAGCGACAATTTCTAAACTGGCGTATCTACCAGAAAGCAAACAGGGAATGCTGGGGGACCCACGGACGATCCGAACCCCTCGCATCTGTGTCATACAGCGGCAGAATATCGTTGAAACATGCGTGTATGGACTTTTGGCCAGTACCTCCTCTGTTAGTATTGTATCACCTTACCTTAAAGTACATTGTCGCATTTTACGGAGCTATCGGTGTATCGGATACCAGTCCCCCGCGCCTCTACTGGCTCTCCGGCTACTTAGCTGTCAGAGTCTGTTTCCTTTGTAGCCAGCCTCCATTAACGGTCCTTTCACCGTCTCTACCACCTGTGGACGCACCGGTTGATCAGTAAGTAAAGGATTAAGGCAGACCCCTCGCAGCCCCAATGTAGATCTCGATTTCCCGTTCCCCAGCCACCAACTTTGTTTCGTGACGCCAGATTATTAGGAAGTAAAGGTCATTACTAACGGCTCTTGCCTCCTGAGCTGGCCAGTTAGTAGGAATTTCCCCTGACTCCTTTCTTCCACTCCTTGTTGCGGTTATCCTTCGGAAAAACCCTCAACGACCAAAAGTTGAAAGAAATATCGGCTAGATCGCAGTTGGTAGCCAGGAATAAGGAAGCTGCCGGCGACCTTAACCCTAACTCTAACCTCAACCTAAAACGTTAACCGTTAACCCTAACGGCAACCCTAACCCTAATCCTAACCTCAAACGTAAAACGGAAGCCAGATGCGTCAGATGTGATTATGAAGCCCCACAAAATAGCCCCAGCAAAAAACTCCCCAGCCACCTGTAATACGGGGCCTGGCTACCAACTGCGATCTAGCCGAAATATCTTCAGTAGAATGTGATAACCGACAAAGACACCTATTAAAGACAAGGGAGACTGGAGTGGACATTTCTGAGCCATTAGCCATCAGCCAGCCATGACTGGCCCCAAGTTTTTGCGACCCCCGCAACCGCAACCTGCTGGTCAGAAGTCGAACGCGGTCTGTTAGAGCCCCTCTACCCTTGGTAATGCACCCGATCAGAACAACGAGCCCCCGGTTCAGTGGTTAGGGTGTTCGACTTCTAACCAACAGATCGGGAGTTCGAGCCTCAGTGGGTGCAAAGCCTGGGGTTGGGCATAACTGGCCGATGGCGGCTAGTAGGCCAGAACTGACCATCCCAGTCTCCCTTGTCTGTGTCGGTAATGTTTTTCTGCCTATAACATTAGTCGCTGAGAGGCTGCTGGTGTGGGGCTTGAGATTGATCTCCAGGACACAAAGCGGAACGAGTGTGTAGCGTTAAGTTTGCATCCTGTATGCCGACTGGAAGGAAGAACATTGCGCTGCGTTTCAGACAGTTAAGGTGGCCTTTCCGGCCTAGTTTTCTTTCTCCCGGTTTTGGAATCGGTTCTGCACACAAAGATTTGGAGTTCGGAATACGAGGATCGACGCGAGAGGTAGACACTTGCCATCGGCGGCCATATATTGGCTCAGTCCGTCTCCAGGATACTCTGGTTTTTGAGCATTCGCTGTCCGACGCTGACCAGTAGTTTAGATGAGGGCCGGTTGTCTTTCCGAAATAATGTAACAAATACGGTGGTGCTTCCGAATTTGGTTTTTTTCCCAGTACCCAGCAATTTCTTTGTTCGGATTCAGCTTAGGAGAACGACACGACTTCACCACGTACATGACAGTTCAGTCGACACTGGTGAAGAGAACTGTCACTATCCGACACTATTCGCAGCGATAACTTGCGCATTGGATTATTTATAGCGAAGCAGACTCAACTCTCTTCCCACATTCACGATGGTTCAACGGCGAGACAGAGGTTAGACGATTCGCGACGTGTGTGTAGACCCCGTGGAGATACTTCTGCCCCTGTCACATGCGCACTGGTGTCCGATTTCACGCGATTTAGGCTTTAAAGATAGAGGGGGGCGCAGATATTTCGAACTGCCTAAAATGCCAACTTAAGATCGAAAGAGAGAGATAGAGAGGGCGAGAGGGAGACAGGGAGAGAGGGGGTCATTGTAATCCCACACCCGGTCCGAGCCAGCCCGTCGATCGCGCCAAACGCACACACACATACGCAACTGGCATCTCCGTCCTTTTACTTTAGTTCCGAACAACTATGTGTGCCTCCAGAGCGGCCTGAACAGTGGGAGTCCCTTGCCCGGTGGCAACCCATCGGATGTGCTTATTGGACAACTGCCCTCCTCCAACTCTGCAGGTCTGGGCTTCCAAAGCACACAACAACCGCCGCCGCCACCGCCACAGCAACAACCGCCTCCACCACCCCCGCCGCCGCCGCCACCACCACCGTCGCCTCCCCAGCAGCAGCAGCAGCAGCCAACGCTGAGCCAATCCTTCTGCGGCCCCTCCTTTGACACCGTACGAGTCACCTCTGAGAGGGGAGAACCCCAGAGCAGCCAGGGCTTTGGTGCTTTTGAACGCCAGTTCTCCGGTGCAACCGACAGCGAGGCGCGCACAGGTTGGTGAGCTTTTCGATTGCTTTTCGTGGACTGCCACCTCCCAATTCCACCCACCATATATTTAAGTCCTCTCTGTCCTGTACGGGAAACCCTGTAGGAGATCCCTTCCAGACAGATCATAGGAATAAGCATGCGTTTGCGACAGGGCTAATTTTGGCCGCAAGTTCCTCGATGTCCCTACTCCAGCGTCCGATTTTCAAGAGCAACTTCTTTAATCAGTGCCGGATTGGCTAGGAGACTGTAGCAAATGTGTTAAGTTTGCTGCGAGCTGGAGTCGGACAGCTGACATAAAGCGTTTCACGCCTTAACACCACATTCTTTCACGAACAGACGACGGCGGCGGATAGAGGTCAGGGCGGGATTAGCTACCAGGTTTTCCAGACTACAGGTTTGGCAGACTGATGACGGTTGATGATGCTTCGATGTTCTATGTAGTTATAGACGAATCTTTCGAGCATTTTCTTCTGGGCTTCCATACCTCAATACATGACTGGCTACTGCCTTATTGGTGGGTAACGTGTCACTAAAATTGAACTTATGATCCCTCCCTAGGACACGAGACGCATTCCGAGCCAACATTTGTGTTTACGTAGCCAAAACCCCCCATTTATTGTCCCGTCTGGCTTACGTAGGTTCGAGGACAGGGAAGTTAATAGGAAAGACTGGACCGTTCACGAGTTCTTTATTGGCTTTTAACCCTCACTACTTTTATGTGCATAAAAGCCCAGGTCAGCGAGCAAACGCGAACACTTAGTCCAACGAGAGTGAGCTTGACATTGGGGAATATATTCTCACGGAAAATCAGCGCATTTTTCATTGACGCCCTATCAGTCGCAGCTTGGAAGGTTGTTCACTGACGGACTACCTCTGTCCTTCTTAAGCCTGAGACTGGGACGGCGATGGCTTTCTCCTAATATGGTTTTTATGACAGTTTAACTTATGTAAGATGCGGGCCACCCTTACTGTAGCCTGGTGGTCTGGAGTGAGGACCAGGTCGTGTGTGCGGCACGCGTAGACGGACTGTTAAGCTTTGTCATTTACAGCCCCAACGTCTAACTCCGGTCGTCTTGACCTTTCCTTGTCATCAGAGCAAGGTTGGTGAGGGAGGGGAAAGTGTAGGTGTTGGGTCAATCACGCGGCAGACCTCGTCGCTTGCAACCAACCAACCTGCCAGATTTGGGCCCGATCGTGCTTGAAGGGCAGTGCCACTATTGCGTCTGTGACTGCTTTTTCTAAAGACTCAACAGTCTGCTGAGTTTAAAACACGGCAGCGTTAATGGAGTGGTCTTTAGCGACTTGTCAGGGACTTTTATTTACAGCCCAACGACGTCTTTTGGCTGCTCTTTGGCGACTGTCCTCTTACCCAGTTAAAAACGGGACATGCTATATGGGTAGACATTTCACGGGTTTAAATCATCTCATAATTTGAAATGTTTTTAAAAACGAAAAGTGCCCTTTCTTCAAATATACAATTTTGAAAGGACGTAATTTACCGCCAAATAAGCACATAAAATAATTTTTGCGCGTGTTTTCCATAAAATATATCTGAATTTATATTGCATTGAGAAAACCAGTAGAGAAAATCACATTACTTAAGCAGTCGTGTTTACAGAAAGTAGCTTTCTCAAGCAGCCGGAAAGAGGCTCGTTTAAAAATGGACATCCCGACGTAGCTGGAACATCTTGTGATTATCCTGCGCGATGGCGAATCTAACGACCCTACCTTTCTCTAAACAAAGACACATTGCAGAATTTCGGTCAACATTTCACGACATTTTTTTGGAAACTAGAGTGCCAGAGCGGGGAGACCGCACCGCAAACAGCAAAAGGCCAGTTTATTTCACTGCGTTAAGCCGTTCGGTGCTCACAAGTACGCTCTTCCGACACCCTATGAAGCATCCAGTCTTCTGACACTCTAGTGACGGAAAATATCTCGACTGTATGCTTGTTCGAGCACGCTTGGCCAGTCCCGCGTGACGTGTAATGTCGACACCGGCAACCCGGGGTAACTCTGACCACGCGCTTGTCGCGACCCAGCTACGCACCAGACTATATGTGGTCGAGAGGAAGCCGTCTACGAGGAAGCACGACGGCGACTGCTGCTGCCGCGGGCTTCTGCCTGGTTGTCTCCAACCGCCTCCGAGGCCTTACAAGGGCCGGCCAGGTGGAATGCGGAACTCCCCCGGTACCACTGGTGGCTTCGCGCCAAATTCCAGAGGGCACCTGTTGCTGTGCCCTGACTTTAACCTCGACACTTACCCTAACCCTAAGCCTCCTAGCCCTAACCCTAACGCTAACCCTCATGGGCCTAACCTAATCCCTACACTTAACCTGGAATCTAGGGCAAGACCACCTCAGCATGCCGGCCTTCGAACGAACTCCTTGAGTACAAAATTGGGAAAAGACGCAATTTTCTACCGAATGAGCAAGAGAATGAATACTTTTATGCATGTTTTCCATGAAATATAATTGAATTTTTAAGGGCATCAAAAATAAATCAGGAAAATGCATTCTACTTAAGTCGTCGTTTTTACAGAGTATAGCTTTTTCATGCAGCCGGAAAGAAGTTCGTTCGAAAGCCGGCATCCCGAGGTAACTGGATTATTATAGAATTATGCAGCACAATGATTAGTTTTACAACCCTACTTAATTAATCGTTTCGAAACGAAAACGCATTTCGGAATTTCGATTGACAGTTAATGATTAACCCACCTACTGTATGCCAGCCTGTTCTGTGACAATCGAAAGCAAAATCTCCCCTCAGAGAAAGGCGTTTTCCATCTACAATCAAACTAACAGGCAAAAAGAGCAGCGCTTCATGCACTCCCCGCTGAGCATTCTGAACTCCGCCACCAACGATTTGGTAGCCAGAGAAACCAGGTCCGAACCAATTTTTGTGTTTGCCGTCGTCCATTCATCTAGAGTATACACTTAAATAAGATCAACTTTGTCCTCATTTAGACTTCTTGAATTTCGGCTCTCGACCAGGTGATCAGTTCAGTTTCAGTAGCATGCGTTGCGGTGGCGGTGGTGGACTCGACTTCTCCCAGAACGGTGCCGGTGAGGTTGAACTCAACTCCAGAAGCACGGGTCCAGGAGAAGCTGTGGGGTCGAGGAAATTCTTCCAGTCGGGGACAGATGGGGCGACCCCCTCGGGCTCGGCCGTCACAAGTGCCTGTTCGTCCTCTTCTACGGCGCCGTCGGGGGACCCACGCCTAAACAAGCCATCCACCCTCTCCACCGTCCCCCGTGTGACCTTCAAAGAGGTCAGCGTTGACAACTCACCCACCGATGCACCCTCCAACCCCAGTTCTTCCAATGACAGCGGAATCGACAATCAGGGCACCCTGCTGAACAATTCCAATCCCCGGATGATCAGTCACTTTGATAAAGCAGGGGAGTTAGGTGTGGGCGGCGGTGGTGCGGTTGCACGCTTTTCCAGTCAGCGATCTGGCGTAACCAGGGGCAGTTTACCACTGCCTTACACATCTCGCATTACTGTTGATTCACCCGGAGAACCCACGTACTACAACCAGGATCAAGTGAACGCTGGTTCCGCTGCCACCACTTCTGCCCAATCAATTGATGAGCGGGTCGGTGAACCCTCGGCCTCTTCGCCTAACGCAGTCGACGGCGGAGAGGGAGCCTTCTCTTTCGAAAGGTGTCCCTCTATGCCGCCATTAAATCTGCCGAAATTGGAGGGTTTCGGCACCTCCGCCTCCTCCAATGTCATTTCCTATCCCAGTCTCTCTCGGCGTTTCAATCTCGGTCGCTCTTCGGCCTTCAAAACCACCATGGGGCTCGGTGAAGGTTCGGCGCCTCGAGAGGATGGCATGACGCGCTCCATGGTGCTTGCAGATAAGGATCGGTCGGGCCTGTGCAGCCAGGTATAGACCATGTAACTCTCCTTTTCCGATCATCCTCCTGTCATCCACGCCTGTCATCCAACCAAATTGGCATTTTCCACTAAAGAGTACGCTAACGACTTATCTCGACCCGTGCTTCTGGAGACTTCTGCTCAGCTCTCCTCAATCCCACTGCACCAGAGACGTTTCTATTTCCCACACCTTCTAAGCGAAGTTCTCGCTGTTCCCTATGTGCGGCGCCTGCCGAGCAGCCATAGGTTTTTATCTTATTTTTTTGTCCTCTTCCCCTACCCAATGTGGTACGTTCGCTAGTACGTATCCATGCATTGCTTATACATATATTTGTGTCACAAACACTTAACGTCTTCTTGCCTACGCGTGGCTCCGGCCGGTGTTTACCATACTTACTTCTCGCCCACGTTGTAAATACTTTGCCAAAAGTAATAATGCAAACATCCCACAAAGACTTCTCTTCTCTCGCCTTTTCTCACTCTGAAAACAGAGTCGGCCACGCGCAGTTGCTACAGACAACCTCCTAACCGCTGATGTCCGTAAAAGTACGTTTGGCCAGACACCTACAGGTGGGGTGGGGTGGGGTAGAGGGATCCGGCCTTCGTCGAGGCCTGACCATCTGACCACCGTCAGTTTATTTTAATGACCGAAGGGACTGCGGTTGGTTGCCGATACCTTCACGAGTAGTTGCTTATTCAAAAGTCGTACTACAAGCGCCGGCTCCGGAAGAGTACATGGCTCCAGGTTGGGCAAATAAAGCGAGAGAGCTGGGCTGAATATTTAGCTTAGTCGATCACGAGAGTATTTTTAAGGTGTTACAAATAGCGAACACTCCAGATTAACAGCGATATTGTCACTTGTCCTGGCGGCTGATGACGCAAGTGGGTGTACCGGCAAAGAGTACGGAGGTTACCAAGGCCTCACACTGCGTCACTGTGCGAGTTCAGGCCCACGGCGGCCTCCCAGCCGTTCGACAGGGTTGCGTCCTGTCGTTCCTCACACTTAACTGGGTGCTAAAGCGGATTCTATGGGGGTTCATGCTCGGTTATGATGGTGTCGGGTTCTCATCAGGACCCCGATGGGTTGACTTCGGCTGCTGCGCCAGACTAGGTTGACCAACAGAAGGCAGTGTGTTGGGTCCTCCAGATAAGTCGATTTATCCACCAAGACTGACTCCCAGTGGTGATCGCACGCCGCCAAACGCCCTAGTGACAGCCATGCGGCTTCCGTCTGTTACAGACATCGCTCACACACCGGGCCCAATGACCCCAACATGCCGACCTCGCCATGCGGGTGGCATGGGAACTATATGGGTATGACTAGCCATCCCAGACGCTTAGATATGTCCACAACCGGTATTTGCACTCTCCATTTACCTGAAGTGACCTGATAGTGAATGACTGAAGGCACGCGTCTGCCAGTTTGACTTTTTAGTCTAGAGCATACATGCAGGCTCCAAAGAAGTATAGACCAGTTTATCTGAAGAGGCGCTAGACTGTCTGAACTTGGTGAATGGAAGTATTAGTTGGATAGTGAATCCAGCGCTTTGTTGTCAGGGGGCGTCGGTCAGCGCTAGCTCCAGGTGGCGATAGCACGCCGCCTGAACCGTCCCTCCTCGTGTCCAAAACTTACAGACATCGTTCATCCCCCTCCACCCCCAGCCCCAACGACTCCAGCGCGCCGGCGTCGTCATGCGGGCGGAGTGGGAACAAGGGGCATGAGTCACTTCCCATGACACCTGTGAGCCCTGTCTACGGTGCACGCGTCCATTCCCATGCAATTGTAGCTGCTTGATAATGAAATACAGAGGGCATATGTTTGCCATTTTGCCTTTTCAATCATACCGCAGGAATACTCGCAGAAAATAGGAAGTACTGGGATATTGCAGCTCTAGTCGGGCGAAGGTGTACCTCGTGTTGAACGGCTGTCATCTTGAAGAACCAATTGTAAGAATATGCTGGCTAGGTTGTTATTAATTGGGCGGACCGGAGGTGCCACCGCTCGAAATGGTGGTTCTCACAGTCTGTAGATCTGCTAGGATGTCTTGGTCGTCGCAAAGGTCCACATGTACTCGACATCCTCCTGATAATTTGCCCTTTTTCGGTTATGGGTCAGATGTGCTTATGTAGCCATCCGCCTGTAGCACGGAACCGGTGGCTTTTCATAGACGGGGCTGGGGAACACACAGGCGACGAGGTCGAGTAATTGTATGCAGAAGAAAAGCTATTGGGAAATGCGCATTTGTGCTTTGAGTGGTTGAGAAATAGTTGCCCTAACCCTAGCCCCGAACTCTAATCCCTAACAGTATCGCGTCCATCAGGTGCGACTGCACAACCACATCTCACGCGGTTATGAATGCTGAACCCTGCAAGGCAGAAAAACGGAGCTCAAAACGGACGTTTTTGAGCACTGCTATCCGGATACGATCCTTTGAGCGAATGAGACTCGAGAGTGCCAGTCTCCAATGATTCCCACAACAGTGCAAGGAAACCTAGATCCATACAAAAGGGCGGGTGGGATCGTTAAGCACTTTCTTCGTCACCCTTCCTCCCACCTCCCACTGAAACAGCTTATCGCTGCTGTTTTGGGTCGGACCCTGCGGCCTAAATGGAAGACTGAGAGGCGAGGCCAAAGGCAATCCGTCAGGGCGCGCAAACGGCTATCTGGTCTCCGGTTTTTGGTCTTTATTGTGGGGGGGGAGGGGGGAAGAGCGTCGGGCTGGCTAGATGAAGTGTTGTGAATCGACACAAGCGGAGGGCAATATCTACAGATCGTAGAGGCCGACTGAATCCGACATGACTGAAGTCGTAAAAACGATAAAATTACTGGCAAACTTCCACTCTGACGATCGCGATCGATGGTTGATACTGGTGGTTCGGTACTACAGTAGCATCATCGCCTATGATTGTGCCCATGTAACCGCTAGCATGTGTCCGTTTTCGGCCCGCTGTTTTCCAGCGACTTATACGGTTCGGATGCTTCCGTAGGGTCTGGTTGACCGGGTCGGAACCTAATGCCTGATTTGCGAGCCTATCTCCGGTCAAGTGATTATTCTCTTTCGGTCGGGGACTCAGTCACTGAGACAGCCGAAAGTTTGACTGACTGTTGTCTTATGTTCTTCCGGTAGTCTGCCGATCTTCCCAACACTTCTCGCTCGGTAATAACTGCAGTTGATCACACAGACTTCAAGAAGCGCTTCTTTTCTTAATAGCATTATTTTTGTCAGGTAATTGGCCTGCAGATGAGACAGTGATGTCGCCTCCGAGGTATCACCAGACGGACGATCCTGCTGGACTCCAAACAAACATATGCTGACACCCGGCATATCCTGATCCTTCAGCTCTACTGATCGCTTAGAGCGTTTTAAGGTTAGAATCAAAGATGTCAGGGGTAAAATCAACTCGACCGTATGAAAAATAAAGCTTTATGCCAAATGGAAGTAGTTTTATCGTAAATTGAACGAGTGTTGCATAAACACGTTGCCTCCAGGATCTGTCTGTCTTCCCTCGTTTGATTTGACCGTCAGGACTCCGATAATTAGTAGTTGCTCGAAGAGGGAAAAGTGCTTATATATTACCGACTCAACGGCGCCGAGACTGGTGGGATATCCCAAAATATTCAAAACTTATTAGGGCATGTTGACAGTTGACCAGAGTGAATAACGGGCATTTGGGCTGAACTAGTTGGCATGGATTATGATTCTGTATTTGACAGTTTTTTTGACTAGTTTGGTATTAAAGCGTCCAAATTCCATCCTTTTTTTTACCCAGCGCTGACATTCTTACATGTCCGTTTTGCTACGGAGTGATTTGCCGACTCGCGTCTAGTATTGGATTACATCTAGAACTGTTGTCACGTTGCGAAAGCCGTCTTAAAACACCTGCTGGGATGAGACTACGCGTGCATATGCTTGGACGAACATTTCAGACAATGTTTAAATTATAAATTCTTCAAAGCGAAACACTTCCTTCTTTTATTTACGAAATGTGAAGGCACCTCATTTCTTAAAAAAACAGCTACAGAAAAAAGGCTTTTAGATTTTGCTCTGGAATACTCAAACGGCAAAAGTGAAGGAAGAATGCCTACTACGAATGCAGTGTCGTTTTGACAATGGAATTAAGGGAGATGACTGAGAACTTTCTCTATTGGAAGAAAACATAGCACCAGGGTAACCATACCTGGTCAACGTCACCCCAATCGCAAGCATACATGACGACTTCAGGTTCAGCGGTTTATGAGTTTTTGCGCGTGCGAAAACCTGTGCGTATGGAGCAGCATACTGTTATCTTATGACTCGCACCTTACAGGAAATTGGAGTTAATTCGATGGGTATGACTAGCTGACGACGGCTAATAAGCCAGAAATGGCCATTCCAGTATCCCATGTCTTTGTCGGTAAAAACATACTGCCTATATCATGCGCCGGTGTGCGGTTGCTGGCTGGACTCGAGAGAGAGCCCCTAAGGCACAACGGAAAGAGTGAGTTCCATCAGAACAATCGGCGAGCGGCCCCTACAATTGTACATTCCCGATCGAAACCGGCAGGGCAACGGGCTCGTTGCCCAGTGGTTAGATGCGTGGACTTCTAATTTACAGGTCGCGAGTTCGAGCCTCGGATGTTCCACACTTCGGGGTTGGGTATGACTGGCTGACGACGGCTAATAAGCCAGAAATGGCCATTCCAGTATCCCCTGTCTTTGTCGGTAAAAACATACTGCCTATGTCATGCGCCGCTGTGCGGTTGCTGGCTGGGCTCGAGAGAAAGCCCGTAAGACACAAGTGAATTAGTGAGTTCCGTAAAAACGATCGGTTAGCGCTCCCTACCATTTCATTCAGTGTTTCGTGAGCATCCGCACCTACTGTATTTTAATCTCCGCGTGCAGGCTCGGGGTGGAGCGGTAAAAGCAAATTGCCGCATGAAGGAGTGACCAATTTGCGTGAATCGTAACCCCAAGGCAAAACGCTCAGTACGCTCACCACGAACAATAAACAAGTTAAACCCAGTCGACGGATGCT